GCTGTGGAGTACCTAAGTAATTACCACAGTGCTGCAACTACATGGGTAGCTGCAGATATTCTTTTAAGCAAACAGCTATCATTTAAAGAGTGGGGAATTTAGTGTGTATACAAGACCTTCACCCTGGTTTAAACAACTGTCAAATCACATAAATGGGACATGTGCTTATACGGTGACATCAGATAATTCAAGTCTTTGATGCAGTTCAGTAAAATTATGTACATTACACTTTGCTTGAAGAAAAAATATATTCCATCACCTACTGATAGATACACACCTTGCGAGGATTGTTAAAGCCAGGTTTGCAGAACTGCCTGAAGTAATTCCACTGATCTGGTTTATATCTGTAGGAAGCCTGAACATCAATGTAAGTTGCAAACCTGTCTGGGCACTTTGAAACACAAAGCTGCAAGAAAAAAAAAATGAGTAAAGATACACTGGGGGTAGAGAAGGGTGAGGAAAATCAGTGCAATGGAAAAGCAAGAAAAAGGTCACTGCCTTCAGTATTATTTACTGCAGGATTTAGAAAGGGATGTATGTTGTCCTTTTGATTCCCTAGATGAATATTTCTAAAATTCTTTGACAGAACACACTTTCAAAGTCTCTCCTCATATCAGGCATATCAAGCCCCTCTCTGTACCTTCTTAGGTTTTACACATCCTGGTAGATAAGCAGAGCTTTCAGTCTGTTGAAAAGAGCATTATTTATTTTTTTTGAAGAACAAGAAAAAATCTGTCAGTTCCTCCTCTACTTCTATCAGCAGCAGTGCATATGAATGAGGTGTTGTGGCAGCTACTTCCACGGGATACATGCATTTTCTTTCTACTACATGTATAAGGAAAACTTTATTTTAAAAAAGTCTCACTAAAATTAAAAGTCTCAGGTAATATTGTTCCATCCTTCTACATAGTTTCTTCAGTCAAATACATCTCTACAAATATTGTCAAGTCAAGATAGTCATAAATCACTCAAAAGTGACTTTTAACTGCTGACAAAGGCTGGATCTTCCCTAGTTACAACGGAAGGGGATGCACACATCAGGAATGAAGTTTACACCACTCAAGGTACAACCATTATAAGTTGGATTTATGTGAGAAAGCAAGTAATGACTGGGGTTTAATGAATGCATCCACTAAGAAGCTGTGGTTTAGATATAGGGCATGGAGAAGTGGCTGCCCGAATACACAGACTCTGAAGGCTCTGCTGGTCACTGGAATCACACAAGTGGACAGATGTTCTGACTCCTCAGTGTTAACCCTGGGACATAAAAGCCATCTTTTCAGCAAGTTTCAGCCTCTTCTAGAAGGCAGTTTTTTTCCAAAGCTGTGCTATCCAAACACACCTTGCAAAGCTCTGCTATTCAAGTACCAGAGAGATATCATGCACAAAATTGTTTTTCATGTCAAGGGCATTCCACCATATATGATTCACCTAAAGGAACTTTAGAAAAGGTTGTGTACTAATCCTTAGAACAGGCCAGATGCAGCAAGAGGATCTCTCTAGATGAGTACTTCTGTCCTATGGACTACCCACAGGCCAAGAAACAAAGAAAGCAGAGTTTTGTCCTTGCTGGGACAACAGGTGACTAACAGGTATACACTTTACTACACCCTGCCTGCCATCTTTGAAACAGGCAATGAAATGTGCTGCCTGTGGATCCAGTGCACTGTAACAACAGTTTGCAAATCCACAGGCTTGCTCAAGAACTGAAGCTCTTACCCCATGGCAGTTCTTGGGGTTTTTTCTCCTGCTAGTTGATATGGATAGGACAGGAATGAAGGACCCTGTCTGCAGTTCAAAAGAGAAATTATCAAACAAACATTTCTTCAACATTTTCCCCAAAGACCAGAGATTTAACCATCTGCAGTAACGAACAGCATTCAAAAGCATTTTTAGTTTTGGAGATGCTGCATGTTTGAAAATGAACAAAATAACTACTCCACTTCAACAAACTCTCCTGAAACAAGTATTTCACCTTACTTGATTCATGGCCATTACCAACTTGACCACAGCACCAGTCAAATCTCACACAATGATCTCAGTATTTCTGAACAGACTGAATCGTTCCATTAAGAGAGGTAAAGACTGCAGGCTAACAGTGTTGGTGTCTGCATGTTGACAGATGGGGATTCCTGAAGCAAACTCTGCTGCTGATAGAAAAAAGTTTTGTTCTGACAGCAACTGGCCAATTGTTAAGAGGGTTCTTGCTATTCCTTGCTGGAGATCTCCATCTCTTCAGCTGTGTCAAACTGTTCATAAAGTCACATTAACTGGTAAGTCAGAAATGTCTATCAAGGATAGGGATCAGGAGTAAGGGCAAGCAAGAATGGGAAACATTTTAAAATGGTAGTCCAGTAAGTAGACAATTAACATTTGTAATCAGTAAACAAACCTCATCCAAATTAACACTGGACTTCACTGAGTGTTGTCAAGATGAATGAGACCATCATCTGTCACCTGTAGTTTAACTGCACTTTATTTTGGCAGCAAAGCTGGATCAGAGCAGTCCTGCACCTAATTCCTCTGACCTACCCTGTGCTCTAAGTTGTTGCCTCTTAGGATGAACTGACATAACTGGTTGTGCAATAACCCACACAAGTTCAGTGACTGGGTTTATTTCACAGCTTCCTGAGGAATTGCAGCACAAAGGGAGTACAGTGTGGCATAAGGCAAGAACAAGTTTTCAAAATCTTCACTTTTCAAAGTGCCATAGGTTCTAACCACACCCAGATACTCCTGTCACTGGCAGTATGCACATCTTCTTGAACATGTCTAGCTTTGAAAACCACAGGTGTCAATCCATATTTTCTGCATGCACTGAATACTACTGGATAGTTGCCTGTGATGAATTCATAAGTCACAAATTGCTGTATTCAACTCAACAGACTTTTTTTGTCAACTCTTATCAAAAACACACAATCTTGTATGTTTCTATTTAATTTTTCTGACCATCACAGGCTACAGAGACTGTGTGCTACAAGTCATCTATAAAACAATCATGTTATATTTTGAAGGACATGAACAGCAATTTTTAAATCCAAACAAATGTATGCCTAGTTCTTAAGCACCATGACTAAGATGCAGGGAAAATATTTTCTCTCTCCATTTCACTCACCTGTGTTGTAGGGCACTGCAGGTTTATTAACACTACTGGGCTGGCACATTTCAGAATGTTGAAGTAAAACAAAATGGTCTTGTTCCTATGGAAGTGGATATAAGATAATTAATGTCATAAATATAGGTGTTTATACATCCTACCATTCCAAAATTTATAGCATACATTGATATTTAAATTCTATAACTGTGAATGGCCATATTGTAAACACAAGACAAAAAAAATCCCAAGCAAAAGTTCCACATCAAGACATCTCTGAAAACAGAAGTATTTGTTCTAAAGAATTCTAATTTTGAGAAGTTTTTTCCACAGCCAGGTTTTAAGCTGAAAGAATTCATGTGTTCGTAGTCCCATCTCGAAAGGGTGAGGTCTGTAAAGTAACCCTGGCAAAAGCACCGTGGTCTCTGTGCTTCCACTGAACATCCTGTGAATGCACTGCATGCAAGCTCACCATCAGAAAATGCTACACTGTAAAAGCTGCCTAATTTTTGTTGATCAGAAGGTGGCACCAAAATCAATCAGAAGTTTTTTATAGTTGGAAACCAAAAGCAGTTGGCCAGAAAATAGAATGATAATAGCATCTACTAATAACACTGATAAACCCCCTCTGATATAAATAGGGGTCAGTTTGAGGGGTTTGCAGCGCAGAAGCCACACACCTGACAGCTACTAGAACTTGGGACCTTGCAGTAGCTGTCACTTCAGTTTGGATTTGTTGAAAACTGAGGACCCCAAGATCTCTTGATTTAAAGACCTGGGTTTTGAAGACAGCAAAACATGCTGTTAACCTTTGCTATGTCAGAAAATTATCAGATAGCTCTAGTGAAGATGATATGGCAGTAGTCCTGCCCTTTTTACACAAGACTTCAAAGCCAGGACTATATTGTGTCCCTGTAAGAAATAATGGTGCATATGGCCTGCTATGGCCTATGAAGGGCCACCAAGTTGATCAGAGGGATGAAGCACTTCTCCCAAGAGAAAAGGCTGAGAGAACTGGAATTTCTCAGCACAGAGAAGAGAAAAGGCTCAGGGGTGACCTGAAGATGGAAAGAAACTGTTTGCAAGAGCCTGGAGTGACAGGACAGGGGGGAATGGCTTCAAACTGAAGGAGGAAAGGTTTAGATTAGATATTGGGAAAAAATTCTTCCCTTTGAGGGTGGTCAGGCACTGGCACAGGTTGCCCAGAGAAGCTGTGGCTGCCCCACAGGGACTTTGGAAAACCACAGTTCTGGGTCAGCCTTTCACACCGCTTAGTTTTAGGGAATCTGAAAAACAACAGTATTGACAAAAGCCTGACAAGCACATCCCACGCCTCCACTTTTGGGGACTAGAAGGCCTCGTTCAGAAGGGTGTCCTGGCCTACTGCTATAAACACTCTTGCTTTTCCATTAGGTTGTATTATATGTTTTCTGTATTATATGTTTTCTGGTTTATATTTTTATAAGAAACTCCTCAACCTGGGAAATCAGTGCCGAAATGCAGTCTCCGTCAGTAGCTGTATTATTCTCCAGCAATCATATATATGGAGGGACATTTGTTAACACAAACCGGAAACCACATAGTAAGAAATAACTAAAGAGAAGATTTGAGTGACAAAGAGAAAGAGGGAAAGGGAGTGAATTATAAGAATCAGAGAGAAGCACCTGGCACCACACCACACAGTGTATGGAAGCCATGTCTCTGAGACTCCCAAAGCATTTGCTCACTGTTTTTACAGACCACAGAGGGGACAAGGACAAATTCGGGGTGAAGTGAGGAACAGAGAAGGGGTGCACTGAGTGGAACACACACAACACTACAACTTTTTCTCCTTGTTTTTCCTCTTCAGGAAGTTGGACTCTCCAACAACTGCTGTGAAGAATCTAAGTCAGAGCATGGAACACATCTTCTTACACTAACTAGTCTGTTTCCTCTGTAAAAAACCCCTGAGAGTATATATACTCCTGCTCCCCTGCCTTCTGAACTCCCTTTGGACAGTGGCTTTTTCATTTTTTTCCACAGAAAACTAAATGGGGAAAGACACAGCAAAGAGTTGTTATCAAATGCTAGTATAACATCCATATATATATACACATATTTATATCCATCCAGTGACAAGGGTATAAAGGGTGCCTAATACATACTTTTTAAAAGGGAGAAGTAAGGGAAGAAGCAAACTTTTAAAAATTCTATTTCATAAACCACTTAGATTTTCAAAGAAAACATTGATGCGACATCTTTCTTCCCTGAGTGGCTATTTTCATGTAGAGGTACTCTGTTGAGATCAACTAATTAATTTAACTCTTACAATTCAAAATTTAAGAAGACTGGAACACAGACATGAGTTAATAGAGCCCCTTGGGCTCTATTTACCTTCTATTTACCCAAGGAGGGTGTGGTTACAGCTGCCAGTCTCCCAGACCACTCCGTCTCCTCTCTACTGGCACTGGATAAGCACCAGAAAAAAACATGCTTTTCATTACAGTCTTTTCTGTTATTTGGTGCGTGTTGAGAAAAATTCAAACTTTGGCAGAAGTTGTGTCAGCTAGTCACTTTCTATGCAGCTGCTGATGCAATCTCTAAGTTATATTGATGCTTTACCAAAAATATTCTCTGAATGGTACAAAAAGCTGTATGACAGTAAAAATTTCGGTCTGGATTTGGACTAGGCAACTAATATATTTCTGAATTTTATTTGGAATAAATACAGTAAGAGTGTCATCATCTCTTTGACAGAGGGATTTGAAACCTCACATCTTATTCACAGTGCACGAGTGGTAAAAGTATGTGAATGGATTTAGTACTCACTCATTGAGGGTTTCTTTCTGACCACAGAACTGCCCATAGCTGTCAGTTGGATATATCACTTTCCTGGGGTCACCGTGCACCCAAGCTGCAAAATATATACATACCTCTTAACCTTTTAGTCAAGTGTACGTAGTTAATAGTTAAAACTAGATAGCATGAAAATGTATCACTTCTAATGTACCATTTTACTCTTTGTTGATCACCACTGAAGAGTACTGATTAGTTTATTTCCTAATGAAAAACTAAAATGAACCAAGATATGGATGAACCAGTAAAAAAGCCACTTCACTTTTTACTTCAGGGCATATATATCTGGGTGATATCCAAAATATGTAATGATGTAATGGACTTATAAAATACTGGTTATTAGAAGAGTAAAGAACAGGAGCTAACTGTGTAGACAAATCTGAGTGTTCACAGACAATGACGCTGGCATTGAAGGGAACCTTCCACTACACCAGGTTGCTCCAAGCCCCATCCAACCTGCCTTTGAACACTCCCAGGGGTGGAGCAGCCACAGCTTCTCTGGGCAACCTGTGCCAGTGCCCCACCCTCACAGGGAAGAATTTCTTCCCAACATCACACCTAACCCTGCTCTGTCAGTTTAGAAGCTATTCTCCCTTGTCCTGTCACTCCATGTCCTTGTCCAAAGACCCTCTCCAGCTCTCTTGGAGCCCCTTTTGACACTGGAAGGGACTCCTAAAGTTTCCCTGGAGCCTTCCCTTCTCCAGGCTGAACACCTCCAGCTCTCCAAGCCTGTCTCCAGAGCAGAGGTCCTCCAGTCCTTGGAGCATCTCCATGGTCTTCTCTGGACTCACTCCAGCAGGACCACATCCTTCTGATATTGGGGGCCCCAGAGCTGGCAGCATTGCTGGTGAGGTCTCACCTGAGCAGAGCAGAGGGACAGAATCCCCACGTCACCTGCTGGCCACACTTCTTTTGACATAGTCCAGGGTATGGTTGGCTTTCTGGACTGCAAATCCACATTGCTGGCTCATGTCCAACCTCTCATCAACCAGCACTCCCAAGTCCTTCTCCTCAGGGCTGCTCTCAATCTGAACTGTTTACTTCTAGCTTTTACTGTCTGATTAACGACAAATGAAATTTTCCATCACAGTTACTTTATGATTGCAAATTTATCAAACCATGGTATTTTTTTTGAACACATTTAATTTTGAGGTTTTTTATCAGAACACACATGGCTTTGAACTTCCTAAATACCTGCTGGAAAGCAGCTCTTCAAAGAAGGACCAGGGGGAGCTGGTGAACAAGAAACTCTCCCTGACCGGCAGTGTGTCCTGGGGGTCAAAAAGGCCAGTCGAATCTTGCAGTACACCAGGAAGAGAATTGCAGGTCAGGGAGGTGATCCTGCCCCTCTGCTCAGCCCTGTGAGGCACATCTGGAGTGCTCTGTCCAGTTCTGGGCTCCTCGGGACAGNAAAGAAGGACCAGGGGGGGCTGGTGAACAAAAACTGTCCCTGACCAGCAGTGTGTCCTGGGGGTCAAAAAGGCCAGTTGAATCTTGCAGTACACCAGGAAGAGCATTGCAGGTCAGGGAGGGGATCCTGCCCCTATGCTCAGCCCTGTGAGGCACATCTGCAGTGCTTTGTCCAGTTCTGGGCTCCTCAGGACAGGAAGGAAATGGAGCTCCTGGAGCAGATCCAGAGGAGGCTGCGGAGATGATGAAGTGACTGGAGCATCTCCCTTACAAGGAAAGGCTGAGGGAGCTGGGGCTGTTCAGCCTCGAGAGGAGACACTAAGAGGGGACCTCATCCATGTCTGTCAGTGTCTGCAGCGACGAGTCAGAGGATAGACGAGGCTCTGCTCCGGGTTGCCCAGCACTGGGACAAGAGGAACAGACAGGAACCGATGGCCAGAAAGTTCCACCTGAACTGAGGAAGAACTTCTTTGCTGTGCAGTGACCGAGTACTGGGACAGAATGCCCCGAGTGGAGTCTCCTCACTGGAGATATTCCAGAACTCTCTGGACACAGTCCTGTGCCATGGGCTCTGGGCTGACCCTGCCGCAGCAGGGAGGTGGGACCAGGTGAGTCATTGTGGTCCCTTCCAGCCTGACCCATTCTGGGATCCTGTGAATTACAATGTTAATTCATTATTTGCTTCTATGAAAGACATTTCTTATTGACTGGAAAGCTTTGCATAAATATAAGCAAAAGGACATCTCAGTTGAAAATGCTAACATTCACAAAGCTGCTTCCCTTCTGTATAGAAAAGCACTACTATACCTGTGTTTACTTACCCACAACTCCTAATGCAATGTAACCCAGAATGACAACTATGAAGATCACACAGCAAATAACGTCTGTGCAGTGCCTAGGGACAAAAACAAACACTTTCTGAAATAAGGTGTTTAATACGACCCTTTGAAAACACTGATGTCATAGGGTACTTTAACATCTGAATAAGTTGTCCACACCAGCACTTAGCAGAAGTCTTACTTACAAACTCACATTTGAGATGTGAGGTCCTGTTTTTGCAGCAAGACCAGCAAATAAATGTGCATGCCTTTCTCATGGTAGACAGCAATAAGAACAGATTTAAGTATTGCTAAAACAAATAATACCTTACAACATTGAACCCATGAGATTACTCATGGTATAACCTGCTACAGGATATCTGCCTCAGAACACACCACTTGTGGCATCTGCCATTCTTTCTGTTTTCCAATCTATGTTTCCTCTTACAAAAAACCACTATGTTTTAACATAAAGGAGATAAAAGGGCAGATTTTTTAAACAGTTGAAGAACCTGAAGTGCATTTCCAAGTGTGGAAAGGAATCAAAAATCCTGTACACTTCTCTAGAGAGCCACAGCTTTACCATCTCACTAAAATAAACTTTTAGTGAGGCTGAAGGTATACAGGACTCAAGGCCAATATGACAGTAACCTAAGAAAGGACAACTGCTCAAAGTACAAGGAGTGATGCTAAAATAATGCTTCTCATTTTCCCATCCTCCATTCAGAAGCAGTTCTGACACTGCTCGAGCTTGGCTCTCATCCCACTAGAGCCATTTTTAAAGGTACAATATTTATTTCAAGAGTCTCAGGAGAAATATGGCACCATAAATACTTTAATTACAACTCCTATAGTCTCAAAAACCTCTTCCAGTTCAATTCTCACAGGTCTCATTTAATGATACCTAAATGCAATTAAAGGTTTTACCCATTTGCGTTAAAAGGTTCCTTTTAAAGTTTTGTTGAGCTACAAGTACCCATAAACACTTTACCAGAATGCAGGATTTTATGTTCTTTGTAATACATTAATTTCTGTGCAATATCTAGTAAAACTCACTGTTACCAAATACTGTGGTTATATAACTATTAAGAAAAAAAAAGTACGTACGTATTTTTTTGTGTGTGGCTTCAGAAAATTTTGAAACAGTTCATAAAGACTAATTGTTGTTTATACAAAATAACTGCTTATTTAACTAGATATTATGGGTGAAACCCTGGCTCCATTTAACATCATTATTAGCTCATGTAGCTCACTTCCAGTGAGATCATAACAGTAACTCATAAATACAAGGCTCCACAGGAGAGGAAAAAAGGTAAAGCTTCTTAAATTAATAAATTAAAATACATTTGTAAAGACACATGGTTATAGGGTGAAGACTATGGGAGTTTCCAAAGTTGCAGGAACTGGTATGATGGGAACTGGCTCTTCCTTAATAGGAGATATTGAAAGTCCATGCTTATTACTGAAACCTAATCAGAAATTATCCAGCCTTTTTTGCTTTCCGCCATCTCTCAGAAACATACTGGTTTCTTGGCTTCTCTTGCTTTGTTACGTGTGGCAGTGCATGCTAAGAATACCTTGTGCATGTGTAATGGCATCCTAGCAAATAAATTAATGCAAAGATAAAATCATCCACAGAGTATTAGTACATAAAAGCCATTTATTCACTGACAGCTCATGCACTTAATTGTTAATGACTGACTAGAACCTCTCTCTGTTTGGCAGTTTCATGCCCAATCTGTCACAAGTACAACTGTGCTCAAGATGCTGCATAAGCAAGAAACTATGACATTATTAGTTAAACAGCACTAGCAAATAGTCTCAAGCCCAGCACTGTGCAACCACACAGAGCAAAAGGAGGCTCAATACATTCACAGTGGGACTTTCACATTACCCCTTTCAACTCTGCTGACTTAGATGAAGGTGACCACTGATGTCCTCACTTCTGAGTTCCTCCTTCCTAGTTAACTAACAACTTGTGTTTTGAGGCTTCCCTAAGTCATGTTGTGTCAAGGTGATGTTATACTATGCCATACAATGTCATGAATAGCT